AGCAACAAAGGGAGTTCTGATGATGCCGCTAGACCAGGGTGGACATAGGCGCGCCTAAATGGAGATCAGTATCGTGCTGTGTTGCAGACGGGGCAGAAGATGAAAACAAAAACACAGTTAGTGCGGTGGTGGGTAGAAACAAAGGGTAACGGTAGGCGGATGACATCAAGCAGAATAAGCGAAGCCATTCTGGTCGAGTTGTTCGGTCGATGGTTACATAGCAAAATTGCCGCAGTTGTGGCAGATTAAAGAGTGGCTGCAAACGGGCAAACAGGCGAGTTTCGAGACATATCTAATAAAGGGATTAATGGATTGCTGAAAACACAGCTCTCTTCAGATGAAGTTTCGAAGCCGCGTCTAAACCTATCATCGGACACACAGGTGTGTCTATTTATCTGGTAAGTAGTTCGAAAATGAGGCTTAAAATTTCAAATGGATAAGCCTCCAGTCCCAGTAGTCAAACCTACTTTTTTCCAGCTCGCCGACCTCAGCGTAAGCGGAACACGACTAATAACAGTTGCTTTGGTGGATTGACGGTCGTGCCCAGTGTCCTGCTGTACGACACAGTTACTCTACTCTGACTCCAGAAGATGCTAGTTCTTTGAGCGCAGCAAACAGACTTGGAAGTGCTCAGACAAACGAATGAAAGAAGCGAATAGAGCTCTTCAGTGTCCAAGGTGTTGTGTTTACCTCGACCCGATTATGCAGCAAACATGCTACTTCATAAAATGTTACTCAATCGTGGCTTAAATTATTTCACCCATTTCTCGCTCTGCCAAAGGTAAAAAAAAACAGCGGACCACAGACAAAATGGCATTTTTGGAGATGATCGCGCAAGATACGGAAATAGTAACTCTCTAACTCTCAGTAAGGGCAAATATCCCCGTCTCCTAACCCCTAAACGTAACCATGATGTAAGCTCTAACCTTGAAGTGAATTCTAATTTTCCTGAAACTACAGGAGGGATTCCCGTTCTTGCTGATGGACGTTCAGAAAGATTTGTTCGGAGGTAAAATTTGGTACTTAGATTATTTGCCTATAGCATCGCACAAATTACAAGACGAACTATTGTTATCGAATCTATTTTTACGTTAACTGTCCATTCGTTATACATATAGCAATTCCAAGCCCCTGATGTGAATAAACCTCAGTTGTTATTTGTTTCGTTTTGAAGTTGTGCGTTTTCAGTGAAAATCTCGAAAACAGAAAAACTGGTTTCCTATATAGGGAAAAAGTCCGGGAAACGCAGACGGTTTAGGAAACACTGTTACCAGCGACGTACGTGACTATTTATGACTTTAAGCGCATTGGCGAATTTACTCTTTTAGGTGTGAATAGAAATATTGTGTAAATAATTTCATTAAATCAACGGGAAAGCGGTATTTTATATGCATGTTTAACTGTTTGTTTTTGTAGGAGAATTGTTCTATGCTATCTCAAAGAATTGTGAATGGCGGTGTTTTGAAATGCGTCCTACCACGGCAGATCGCAAACGCGGGCCAACAAAATACGCGCACGATATTGTATGTAGTGATATTTTAAAAAATACATAAATTAAACTGCATAATGATTTGCAAGAAATCTAAGTCTCCTGTATGGAAATAATTGACTGAATGCCAGGAATTAGAAATGAGGGTTCGGTGCTTTATTATTCTGCTACTGCTCTTTGACTATGTCTCTGATGACGAATCCGCGACGGATCTCGAAACGTCAGGCTAATAAAAGTATTGTCCCAGCGATCGAGTCGTTTTCTTCTGGGTTGGTATCATAAGAAACCAAGAGTAATTGGTGGCGAGATGGGGAGTGAGCCTTCAAATTGCGTGTGAGGGCAATTCCACACTGTCA